CATGGTATTGCCCACTACTCAGCTGTTTTGGGTTTCTCTGATAACCGGATTGTTGCTGCTGATTACCTTGGCCGGGTTGTTGATTATATCCTCCTTGGTTACCAGGATGGCCCTAACCTGAAATCCTCCTCCACCTGAACCGGCGCCCGGGCCGTGAAAACCGCCTCCTCCTGAACCGCCACTCGGGCCGTGACCTCCATCAAACGCGTTTGAAGTTTTAAATGCCTTCATGATCGTACAATCTTTCCACAGGTGGGTGGCTGGCTTCTCCCGGGTGCCATGCTTTGGACAATGTTCATTCAATAATTGCTCAATGTTGGGACCGGTCCCGCCCGACCGAGGGGGCTATCTGCCCTTGCGCTGTTGATTACTGCCCTGTGTATTGGTGTTAGCAACAAACTCATCAGCCTTACATTTATTACCTCCCTGATTTGCTGGGTTATGCTGGTGACCCTTGCCGTTGCCCCTCTTCTTTCCCTTTGTTGCCTTTTCTTCGACAGACACCGGGTCCTTGGTAGTATCAGAATCAGCATACTTGACGAGAGCCGCCATCAACGTTCTCATGTCATTACAGTCACGCTTGAGCCGCCCCACCTTCTGCTTCAGAGGTTCAAAACGGCATTTTTTCTCCAACATCAAGACTGCTGAGCCGGCATCCATCTTATCAGATGAATGTATTATCTCCTTGACCTGGCGCACCCAATGGGTTGTGGATTCACCATCCTCTTGCTTGCAATTGGTTAGGTCCACAATCGACATAGGCTGCTTACACGTGTCCTTAAAGTTCTGGATGAACCAGGCCTTCAACTCCGCCCATGAGCCGATAGAATTGGGTGGCAATCCTTTCAACCAAGTACGAGCTGTTCCATCTAACATCATTGTGAAATACTTGGCCATTGCAGCATCGCTGACCTCCAATAACTCCATAGCCATCTCGTAACTCTCAATCCAAGCCCCAGGCTGTAGGTCAGCTGTGTAATTAGGCACCTTACGAGGCCCCTTAAAGTCCTGTGGCAAACGCTCATTACGTATGGCCGGCACCAAGCAAGGAACGCATCCGGTTCTTGTGGCCACTCCTGCCTCGACCGAGGTTGCTGGATAAGCCGGAAAAGTTTGATGAGCCGCCTGATCTGCTACCATTTGAGCTGCTCGTTCCACCTCTTGACGAATCCTTTCCTGATCCGCCAAGTTAAGGGCTCCAGCCCGCACCGGCTCATGCCTGTATGGCCGGTTGTGGCGTTGAGCATTGCTTGACATATCTGCGGATTCCATATGCCTACTGTAACTCGGGCTCCGGCTTGGGCGAGGAGTTGAATGGATCCTGTCTCGACTGTAGGAGTACGCATCCTGCTGTGCTAGAGCAGTTTGAAGAAGTTCTCTTACCCTCCGCGTTTCAACCGCCACCGGTGAGTCGCCTTCCATCGGGAGAGTCGCCAAACGAGCCAACGTTGCGGTGAGGTTTTCCAAGGGGTTAGAGAAGTGACCCGGCGGTGTTGGCACGTAATGAGGTGGAGCGGTAATTATACGAGGTGGTTCCATGGCACGCGGCCGAACCGGTGCACCGGGTGTCGTGATCCGGTTTGCCTCCGGCGGGTTGCTTCCCCCAGCCCCGGGTGTATGGAATAGGTTCCTAGGATCAAGCGTCAGAGGTAGACGTGACTGAGTTTTCTGATGCCTCCTCCTCATGACCTTGTTTGACCCGTTAAGATCCATCGAGAGCCGGAAGGTCTCCGCTTGAAGCTGTTGAGCACGAACGCCCAAAGCCGTCCGCTCTGCTGCCATCCTGACTTCCTCTGCGGCTAGATTTTCCTTAGCTTGCACCATCTCTTCACGTACGCGTGCCACCTCTGCGTCGTGCTGGGCTTTATCCGCCGGCTCAACCACGGCGGTCAACAGAGTCATCAGTTTATCCATGAGGTCCATTAGAATCTGAGTCGGGGCGCGCGGGGGTCTCCTAACCCGGCTGCAGCCGACCCGGTAGCTGTTACTGCCGCTGTTGTAAAGTTCTGCCCGGGCTATGTCCCTGCCATGAAGACTCCGGCCCAATTCGGCGGCTCAAGAGGGTCCGGAATACTGCTGCTATCGGAATAGCCCCCGAGCATGCCGTCCTGCAGCTGGTACAAAGAGTATGTCTCGCCCGTTGATGATGCAGTGTCAGAACAGACGGCCGTCTCACCGCCCTCCGCCGATCCTTCAGAGTATTCACCGCCATGGATGCAGCCTACGAAGGCATGCTTCACGACAGATTGAACACGGGTGGTCCTTGCGCGCTGAGCCGTTTCGATGAGGTTGGTGTGGACGTCCGGCTCAGGGCCTGACTCGCCGATCCGGCCGATGAAGACATGAATTCCGCCGAAGGGGACCTGGTACCCGTACTCAATTGAGCCGGCCTCGGGGCCCCAGCCTTTGTCGTCGATGTAGAGCTTGTCGCGACGACTCTTGGTCATCCGGCCCACAGCGTATCCCCCTTCGAAGTTGCCCTTCAAGAATTCAAATCCACCGTGCGCTGGCCCCACGGTGGGCACCAACTATCGTGGAATTATCACGTCAGATGTCCTAGAGCAAGGACTTAGTCGTAGGGCCATCGCACTAGGAAGCTTAAAGGGGTTAATCGGGACAAAGAACACGAGAGAGTTTTATACTAGTTCGGCCCCTTACGATGAAGGTAAAAGCCTACGTCTAGTTGGGATTGGTATTGCTGGGGTTTCGATCACCAAGAGGCTCAACTCGCCGGCTTGGTTATCGACTTGTTGTTTCTTGCCCTAAGCCGCCACCGGGTCGTCCCCTTATATACATGGGTTGACGCCTGGTGGCCTACAGAGTCCCGGCCGGCTCATAATCGTGTCTGGCTCGGTGACTTCCTTTACATGCCTTTCTTTACATACGGTGGTTCATAATATCGGGCCTTAAACCGTCTTTAGGCCTTTGGGCCTTCTATAAGACTTAATAAACTATAATATTGAATGCTTACTGGGCTTCTTGTGTAACCCGCCATTGGGGCTGACCCGGCCCCTCCTGGGCGGGTCATAACTGATAGTAATATCCCCAACAACTATCAAGTGAAGGTTTTTCCAGATGTCATTCCAAAATTTTATGACAAGGGGCTCATAAAACTCCCCGTATGGAGGCTGAAAGACACACCAGGATTCTGTGGCCGTAGGTGAGAAAACTATACCGACGCCTAAGAGAACACTGGTACTTCGCATTTGTATTAGATACCATATCCGATACTCATTCTTTCCCGATATGTCTTCGATACCTCTGAAGCTCTAGTAGTGTCGGTGGTGGGCTCCTTTCCCCGGTGCTCCCGCTCCCCTTTCCCCCACTATCCCGTAGAATTCTATCTAATGGATGGCTCATGATTTACTTCTCTTCCTCCCTTTCTCTCTAACTGAACTTTTATGTTTGGTGAATTGTCGCTACCCTTTGGCTGTTGGTTCTTGCTTTTGTTGGAATCATGGATAAGAAGATAGAGGATAATGGACTGCACTGACTAAACATATGCTAATTGGCTTGATGCTTAATTGATAACTTTTTTTTCAAAAGTAGTCAAATGTATCCCCGTATTGGCTCTTTTCAGAAATGGCATATTTATCGCCCTAATACATATACATGTATCCATATCGGTGCAATCTAGACCGGCACACTTCAAATCATCCTCGACTCTTAACAGCACCGAAACAGATGCATCTAACCAGACCTTGCACATTGGTTATCACTGCGTGCCACTGATAAGCATACCAAGAGCAAGATAACAAATACTCCCTCTATTCCAAAATACTTGCCGTGGTTTTAGTTCAAATTAGTAGTTCGTAAAATATCTGGTTCGATGTGGCTGCAAGCGAGAAAATCATGCCAGCGAACTCTGAATCATCTTTGACTCTGTAGTATCACTGAATAGAAGGTTCTTGCCCCCTGCATCCTGCACACTGCTCACGTATATCACCTGGTGGCAGTGATAAGCATAAAAGAAGATGGACACCAAATCATGGGCCATTTAGAATAAATTACACCACACTGAAAGCAGTAGGATGCATTCATGCATAACAGGCACAACCAGAAACTAACCTACCCGAGCTTCGATTCGCTGTTAAGACATGACACAAGTTTAACTAGAAAAGCACAGACAGAGACCACACATCATTGAAATTTAGACCTCTAGTAGCACTTAACTATGAATCAGTTCTTTCTCCCACGCGCCGACTCGGAAGTCAAAGTCATAAAGCAGAAAAAATAATATTCAGGCAACAGCAACCATGAGAGACTGCAGCACTTATAAAAAAATGGTTCAGAACCAGCTGTGAGTTGTTCCACAAGGAATTTTAAACATCCTATTTCAGTAACACTTACTCCCTCCATTCCTAAATATTTGTCTTTTTAGAGATTTCAAATGGACTACTACATGCGGATGTATATAGACATATTTTAGAGTGTAGATTCACTCATTTTGCTCTGTATGTAGTCACTTGTTGAAATCTCTAGAAAGACAAATATTTAGGAACGGAGGGAGTATATTCTTGCTACTTAAGGAATTTTAAATATCCTACTTCAGTAACAGTGAATTGTTCCACAAGAACTAAAATTTCTTCCACTATTAATTATGAATTATCATTAACACTTTAATTACCAATTTTCGTGGAATAGAAATTTAGTGCCCGTGCTGGAGCACTAAATTAAATCACAATGAAGGGGTTACTGAAAGCAGTAGGTTGTGCATTACATGAGTCATAGAAACACAAGTTACTACTACTTGCATAAACAGAGACTACTATTGTATCACCTAGTGGCAGTAATAACCATACAAGGAGATAGATACTAAATCACAGCAGGTTGCACATAAACAAGTCAGGGGAACATAAGCTACTATAATACATTCATCCATAACAGGCACAACCAGAGACTAACCTACCCGAGATGTAAGGCAACTAGACAAGCACAAAGAGAGACTACCCATCACTGAAATTTGGACCTCTGATAGCACTGAACTATGCATCAGCTCTTTATCCGACGCGCAGGCTCGACTTGAGAAGGTCAGCCAACACCGAAGGGCAGCTTGCCGCCAGGTACTTGTACCCCTCCGTTGCCAACACAGCATCAAGAACCTCACGATTTCTAATGATGAACTGGACGCACTTCGCCTTGAGCCGTGGACAGTTGTGCTGCTCGGCAAGAGCCAGAGACGTCGCTGCAGTGTCGACATTGATGCCATCAGAGAGCTTGCCTTCGCAGATCAGCTTGAGCCTGTCCAGCCCGTATCTGTCAGCAGCTGCAAGCAAGTGCTGGGCTAACATTGTCACCTCCTCACCCTTCTCGTCGAATTCAGCCACAGTGTCAGTGTAGATGTAGTGAAGCAGGGCCTTGAACACCGCAGCCTCCATGTCCTTGATCACCACACTCTGTGAGCATTTCTCCTTCATGTCTCCAAAGAACTGAGCCATGAAAACCGGAGACCTCGCGGCCAGTATGCTCTTATGCGCGGCAAAGGACTCGCCGGACACGAGGAACGTGACGTCTGCCCCGGCCTCGCTCTGCAGGAGTAGAGCCAGGTGCCGGCCCAAGTTTGAGGATGGCACCGGCACTTGTTCGACAGGGTCCGTCACCGTATCACCGTCACCGTATCAGGCAGCTCCTTAAGAACCTCAATGCTGCATTCCATTGTGAAGGAATCGCCCCGGAGAAACGCCGACGCCGCCAGCGCGCGCCGCCCGACGACCGCCGCCTTGGTCGAGCATTCCTGGGGGCGACTGAACACCTTTGAGATGCTGATTTCATTGGACGGTTTGATTTCATTGGACGGTTTGAATATCCCTCTCGGGTCGACCAGCCTATGGCCGCCCTCACGCTGCCCCTGCGGGGCTTGCTGAGGAAGGCCACCTCCAACACCACGTACGCGCCGCCGCCGGCGGCGGCAGAGCTGGTCATCGCGGGGTAGACGCGGACCTCCCACTCGTACCTGTCGAAGGTCCACCTAGATCTGACGCAGTCGTCGTGGTCCATGCTCTCGGTCAGGCTGAAGCCGTCGATCTTGAGCAGCCGCACCGAGCGCGCGACGGCGGTGAAGTTTATGCAGGTGTTCTCCATGGCATTTCTGGGTGGAGACGAACGCGTGTGAGGAGGATTCAGTAGGCAACGAGAAAGGCGTGAGGGCAGAGGGCGCGAAGGGCGGCTCACCGGCGCTGCTGGAGGCTGGATATGAGGACCGGCGTCGGCGAGGCGGACCGACTGGTCTGCGGGCGTCCGCTGTGGCGGATCTGGCCGGATTTGGGGGAGGCCGACGAGCCGGACCCGCGTTTGGCTGGTGGAGGTTGGCGGCGCCGGGGAGGAGAAGGTGGAGGTGGTGAGTGAGGAGGATTCCGACTGGACTGCCAAAATTGACGGTGGGAGACTGATTGGGCAAAGCTCACCAAACGGGCCAGCCCGGCACGGCCCGCAAAGGCACGGTTAGTAAACAAGCTGTGCCTTGCCGGCCGGCATGCTGCAGTCTCGAGCCCAGGCACGGCCCGACTGCTATTCGGGCCGGCACGGGGGCACAACAGGCACGCTAGTTGTTACCTTGAAAAAATGTCTGAAGTTTATGAAAAGCAAAAAATGTCGTTGTTTTTATGTGGACATTCTCTTTTCTTCATACAGAATTGTTTTTTTATGCTAAAACTTTGACGTCAGGTCGAACATTTGTTATGGCAATTTGTGTTGGCGTGAGCCGTAAGAGAATAAAAAACTAAAAGAAAAATAAAAATAAAAACTAAAAGAATAAAAGAATAAAAAACATGAATAAAAATGTGAAAAATAAAAATAAAAAATAAAAAAGAATATTAAAACCAAAAGAGAGAACAAAGAAATAAAAAACTAAGAACTAAGCAATGCCTTGTAGAACATGCTCAAATAGAGGGAGCTTAGTATCTCAAAAGATTTTAAACCAAAGTGAGTTTAAGGGTTATTAATTTAAAATGGACATCTAACTGGTAACATCCACATTTGCAAAAAGAAAGAAAAATGGTGCAACATAATGCATTTTTATTGCTAGTGAATGAGAAATAAATTTGTGCACAAAAAGTGGCCTTGTTAGCCCATCACGAATGTCCTTTTGTCAAACAAAATGTGTATTACTTCAGAAGGAAGAAATGCAAAGTGTACATATCACATTAACATCTACTACATGTGTAATTTTTTCAAAGAATTCTTAGTTTTGAGAATAGCTTGTGACAGAGAAAGCAAAAAATCGATACTTGCACAAGAAAGAAAGCGCAAGAACATCACTACATCAGCGCAACAAATCAAGAACAAGCTAGTTTCAAATTTGTGTTGGAGTGAACTACAAAAGCGGTAACTTAAATCTGCTTCGCTACAAAAGCAGGAACCGAAGTGTGCTTCGCTACAAAAGCAGCAACTTGAATCTCATCAGCTGCAGGAAACAAGTCTGCCTTTATAAGACGAGCCAACGCCGTTAGCTGACCATGTTCCTCATGCCCTAAAGATTGCTCTGACTGTCTCTGAAGAGTAACTCGGCAATCCCATTGGCGAGTAACTGCAACGAAGAATCTGGTACTTGAGATCACGGCAGTAATCTTCGCAGTTACCCTCTTGGTGTGTTCAAGGAACAATCTTGCTGTCCCGGAGAAACGACGATCTGAAAATCGCTTTGCTACACCGGACACCACTTCCAGCATCAAGCCTTGTACCAGCTCCAAGTAGGAGTTGCTTCCTACTCTGTTTCCGAACACAAGTAGCCTCCTTCGTAGAATTTCTCCACTTCCTGTTCCACAAGCTGATGTTGACTGCCAAAAGCACAAAGAACTTGTTCCAGGATGTTCTGATTTTCCTTAGCATTTCCTAAGGTTCAGAGAACAGATGATTCAGGAAACATGTAGAGCCTCTGCTAGAGCTTATCCCGAGTGCTCCTCCGGATCTGGAGTTCTGTGCGGATCTGCTGTACTGCTCCTCAGTGACCTTATAGGTCTGGCAGCACACATCATTAGGCCAGTCCATTTCCGCATCCTTGGCAGCACATACCACCGGCACGAGGTTAAGGATCTATCGTTAATGGTATCAAGTGGATGAGATTTACATACTTACAAAGTGATTAGATATGCTCGTATTACAGAAGTGATAGGTGCTGTACCTTCTGTGTGCAGAGTGCAGCACCGTCTTGCTCTTGCATCCAATTCGGCCCAATACCTCAATCAACGGTCTCGGGTTCTAAGCAGCCAGAGGCAAGAGAAGGGCAGCTGGCATTGTACCTTCGAACAAGCCTGCACTAAATAGAAAACATGAATATGAACATTTTTCTATCAATGTTTTCACACCTACTAGCGCTAAAAACTCACAGGACTACTATTAAGATGTACAGCAGAAAAAAGAAAATAACCTAGAATTAAGACCAGCTTGGAAATTTATCTCTACTGACCTTCTTTTCCACCAGCTGCAGTAGTAACTCGGTGTCTAGAACACAAGCAGAGGCCATTCCAACCCAACAGTTCCTGTAGCTTGTGGACTCACAGGTTCTTTTCATTGCTACAACTCATTAGAATCAATACTTGGAATTATTTTCTTCAGTAGGCTAAATGATGATGAAGGCATGTTACATTCTGCAGTGAACTGCAGTAGCTCGTTCTCTAGAACTGCAAAAGCATCAGCAAAAGCCTGCCATGAAAAGCATCAGAAAATACCAGTAAGACTTATTGATCCGTGATTTGCCGGACGAATATTTATATCTTCAAAGGCCAAACAAAGAACGCATTAGTACTAGTACCATGCAAAGACTAAATTTCAATACCGGGATTCCCCAGTCAGATGAGTTACTATATAACAGAGCATAATAACAGAAAACGGCATTGCCACAAGTCCAAAACGCTCTAGATGCAAAAGATGGATTCAAGCAGTCCAGAAAAGATAATTTCAACCAACCTTGATGCATTGGTGGATCCGGAAACAATTCCGGCCCACATTGTTAGCAGGGCAAAGAGGGTCATCGATATGAATTGGATCAATGCTGCAAAATCCACAATATGAAAACTTAACATAGGCAGAAGGTGACAGACATAAACGATGTATTACTGAGATCGACTTTTATTACCTGTGCCCTCTTTCTCGGTTCAAATAAATTCCACTTCCTTGGATGGAAATACGCATATGGCGTGGATCAAACACATTCCTGTCATCCAGAATGTTTGAAAGCGGTTAGAAGTCAGATGCACCAATATATTGCTAATTTAGCTGTCCCAAAAGAGAAAACATACACTGGGCCCCTATAGTCATTCTAGCACACTTTACATGCTTTTCTACATCTGGTACTCATCTTTTCCCTTATGTTTTAAACAATAAAGTGTCCATACATAACTCACTTACCCAAAAAAATACAGGAAATCCATCAAAAGGCTCCCTAGATTCTGCCAAACACAAAACAGCAAAAATGTAGCGTTAGTGGCAGTTTACAATAAAAATATGAACTTGCTAAGAAGAGGGGCCAGAGATAAAATTTTATTTTTCCATTGGTACTACTGAAGTTTGAAACTCAAAGATGACCAAATATCTACATATATGTGAGCCAACCACTAAAATATAATATATGATACAGAAACAAATATCTCACAGAAACATGATAGAGTAACCAAGGAAAAAATAGTGTAGATTCTAAGTGAGCTATACTATTCAAGATGTGCAACTTACTTGGTTAATAGGCCGACCAAGATGATGTTCATGCTGAAGAAAACGAGTGATTAACAACACCTGCGAAGGATATTAAAAGATGAAGTTCTTTTCACAGGTCATCTCAAGAGTTAATGTCGTTACTAAATATAATATGCTAACATGAAATGTAAGCATCAAGTATGTTATCCAGAGATGAAAACATATAAGAAAATGTAAGTTAGCTCGGATACGTGCTTGTAATGCTGTTAGACATACATTAGCAGTCAATACGAGGACATATTATCTGACCGAAAAAAATTATCTGATTGGAAGGTTTAATCCAGACAAACCATCAAAAGTATAGAACATTCAACTGTGACCAACCCTGATAAAATTAACAAGAAAAATTCTTACTAAAATTAAGATATTTTAGTCATTATTATACTAACTCAGAAGCAATGATCTGGAGAGCGTGTAGGTGAACATAAAGAAATTATCCAGCGCAAACAAACTTTCAGAGTCATAAATCAACACAAAAAGAAATCACAGGAGTATTATGAAAAGCTACATACCAAACAGTAAGAGCTTAGACCACCCGAATATGGGTGGTCCAAACTACGATCTGCCAAAAACTTCTTCATGATTAAGGCAAGGGGTAAAGCCGCAGGAAATTGCTGAGTCAGCTCACCAACCTGTAGCCAGTTAAGAAAGAAGGTGAATAAGCATGGCAAACTTGGATCTCTAATTTTAGTCCCGAAAATTTTGTATTCGTGACTTTCAAGCACAATTTCATGGGCACCAAAGCATGTGGCAGTACCATGTAGTTAGATAGTTCCATGGTTCAACTAACCAAGCAGCTAGCTAGCTGACCATTCATGTGCATACAACACTTGCACTTGCACTTGAGAAAGAAACTAAGTGATTGTGGTGGTATTGAACGCTACATACTAAACAAATCCAAAACCTCATAAATGTTGCCTTCCAGCATCTCTTTTTCTTTAGTTGAACCATCACCATGGCATCATTAAAAACAGAAATCACACAAGAACCATCATTATCTCATCCTTAGGATCATTTGAGGCGACATGTATGTAAGCATAAAATGAGAAAACATTACTATTACCTCCGTACCAAAATATAAGACGTTTTGTAGGCTAGTTTAGCCTACAAAAAACATCTTATATTTTGATACGGAGGTAGTACTTTTTAATGAGAAAACATTAGTGCTCTCGAACATGTGACAACTGATAAGAACTAAGAGCAATGATGATAATTCGAACTGCCTACGATCGACATGATGCAACTTAAGTATGGCAATAAATTTGTGTGTAAATGGTATATACAATTTGAATTAAGATCATGCTTCACACACAGATTATTACAATACTGAACTGCAATATTACATAGAGCGGATACATAAGGCAATAATCTATGCCTACAAGAGACAGGTATCAACTAAGCATGTACTTATTCATACCCAATTACCCATTAAGCATTCCACCTTATAATATATTTGTATTTTTATTACATGATCATGTAATCCTCATGACTAACTGTTCAAAATATTCAGTGATACTTAGATACAGGTTGATTTTCTATTACAGTAAACTGAAGATAACGATACAAAACTACCAGACTGTGATCAAACATCTCAGAAACAAAACCTTTTCATGAAGGCTGACTTTAAAACCAACAAATAGAAACAAAGCAGAACATATTTTACTTAAAAATATTCTGTTTGATAGTAGCTTTTGATTTTACCAACTCAGTAGTCTGGAGTCCTGTGTGGGATGGTGATTTGAAACTTATATCAAGACGTATTGACCGCACAGCATCACAATCATCCTTATTCATTTTTGAGCCCGCAAGCGCGTTGCTGCCTTCTGAACTAGAATTGTCAGAACGAGGAGGGCTCCCTTGCTCCCCAAGCACATTGACTGAAATTTCTTGTGAGCTATCCAGAACAGAAGGGTACTCGTTGGACATATTTATGTCACAAGGTACTTGGGCTACAAGCATGATCACAGGTATCTGCAAATTTTTAATGATGAAGAATGAGGAAAATAAAAACTAGCTGGCAAACTAGCAAATTAAATGGGATTATGACTTACTGCTGTGTTTTCAATCGTTTTGAGGGAATCACTCCTAACCCAATCCTGATTTCCAAGGCACCTTGCCGCATGCTAAAGAAAAACAAAAAAGACCTGTGAAGATCAGCTTTATTTTTTCCTTTGGGCATAAAAGCATATAAAGATTTATGCATTGTAAGTAAGCATGGGCGTGCAGTTATGCACAAAGTATAGTAAGAGAATTATTGTTAATTAAATGTTGATTGCCAAAAGCCAGTAACGTACTATGACCCGCGAAGATATACAAACAAGTAGACAACTCAAAAATTAACTTATCCAGAACATATCTGTAGCAACTCACAAGGCATATAGCACCAAAAAACAGAAAGCATTTAATGCTTCGCTTATTTCCTATGTTAATTCTAACAAGAAACAGTGCCGTATATTGTTGCAGCAATGGTGAAACCATGAAAGGAGCTTAGTGTAAGAAAAAACACATAGATAAAACCAAGTGTTAACATCTCAATTTCTGTTTAGACAAATTTGATGTTCAAATCTGATAATAGGTCATTCACCTATTAAAGAATCCAGAGAGCGAAAAATCTATTAGCCGACATGCATTACCTGGAGGCATGTTTCCTTAATGCCATTGCGGCCTTCCAAAATTCCAGCTTCTTTAATAGGTTCCTGGAAACAGCTACAAATTTAGTTCCATGATGGCACAAAGACAACTGCATTTGTGTTACTATGTTGTGTTAATGGTCATGCAACTCACCAGATTTCGGACTGGGGGGAGAGAAACCACGAGATCTACATCACTAGTTGGAAGGGCCAAACCAGTGGCATTTGAGCCAAATAGATTTGTACGCGAGCGGGGCCAGAGGACTTGCAGGCACCGTGTGACCCTTTTGACAGCCCAATTTATATAGGGCTTCGTCACCAGATTTGCAGCAGCAACCTTGCAAGTATAATGAATAGCATCAACACCCATCAAAGAAGGAATTTCACGTGCACAAACTAAGGCACGGCATGCAATTACTAGGCATCAGAGTAACGATTAATGATTGATAGCGCACATTCATGAAAGTTGTGATGATGCAAAAGGCAGGAGGTAAGGGAGAATACCTGCTTACAGAATTGATCAATTTCTTCATGTAGAGCATTGTGCATCAAAGAAAGGGACGCCTTGTGAGGTGAACCATTTAACATATCAGGTGGCTGCAGAGGAACTGCAACATCTGGCTGCAAAAACATATGTCAGTAACGCATAAAAACTGCACAAAAAATACTTGTCAGTAATAGAAGAATGGAAATTACTTCCTTACATGTTGATCACGTGAAAGCTGTGAAATCTTAACAAGGTGGTCCTGCAAGACAGTATCCTCAATTGATTGTACCAGTGTACCAGTAGAGGTGCCTTTATTCACCCATGAAGGCCATACGACTTCAGGGCCATCCAAGCAAAACTGAGCCCTATTGAAAATTTTATCATCAGAAAACAAACTTCTCATCCCCCAATGCCGCGGGCTTGAACTGCCAGATCTAACAATTGGGAATCCACGTTTTCTTGACTCTCCAACAGGAGAAGGAGGAGGTGGCCGAGGCATGCGAGGAACACTAAGTAATACTGGTGATGGAGGTCTTCTTACAAGAGGTATATCCCTCCTGGTCGAAGACACACATGGGCTCCTGCGATCATGACCACCCCTAAAGTCAGATCTTGATAGCCTTCGTGATATATTAGAAACAACTATTGGCCGCAGCATTGCATATGGTAATGTATCTCCCTTTACTATTTCACTGGCACAAGATGGACTCTTTACAACCGAAGTACTCTTATCTTCAGGACTGTCTTGCATGGAAGATGGAGAATGTGAAGCTTCATTATTGATGTCATTCCCTGCCACTGAGTGACAAGCAGGCTGAGGAGAAGGATCAGAAGGTTCATTCTGGGAACAGAATGGGCTTGGGCTGGATGGTGGTGACGATGGACCAGTTGGATTATATGTTGATGATGGAATCCCAATAGCCAGATCATCGACAACTCGACTAACATCTGCCTCATGCCATGCCCAAGCACTGTCATCTGAACTAAGAGATGGTGGCCTAGAAAAGCCCGTTCCAGCATGTTCTGCAGGACTCCAATACATCACGCCTCCGCCAAAATATTGATTAATATCTCTTCCAGAAGTTGCGCGGCCATCTGATTCTTCTTCAGAAAACCAATAGCTTTCAGTATCATCCCCAACATCTGATGTGTTTCTTGGGTCACTATCGCTAAAATATTTCCTATCTTTTTCACTGCAAATGCCACCTCTCTGAATTAGTTGAGCAGGAAACCCAGGCCAAGCAGAAGACTGCATATGTGGGGCAAATACTGGATCATAACTTAAAGCAGCATTTTGAGTCAATTTACCATAACCTCTGAAAACAGGAGGCCAATCAAAACTTAAGGGCACTGACAGAGAAGATAACATTTGATTGCATCCAGCTTCAACTGGTGAGCTTCTCACCTGATGGTTGGCAGGAATGAAAGGTTGGTTAAATTGAGTAGGCCATCTGTAACCAACGTCAAGATGCAACCTGTCTGCTGCAGCAGGGCGCTGTTGCATTTCAGGTGATACAAAATGGGGTGCTACACTAGGCCACTCATATGACGTTCCTCCCAGTAGGTTCCGGTTGAATGCATAATATTCATCTACACCATTCTTCACTGCTGTACCATTGTCACTTATAGCACTTTGGAGAATGTTAGCAGGAATGACTGATGGTAAAAGTTTGTCGGTTGTCACAACAGAACTATGATCCACTTGTTTCTCGTATCCTTTACCAACACCAGGAGCAAGTCCATGCAAAGCTCCCTGTGTTATATCACAGCCAGTCTTATCCTGTGCAGATCTTACCAAGGAGTCAGCAGAGTTTCTACATGGATTACCAGATAAAACATTATCACTACTGGAAGGTGAACATAAAGATGGTTGGACCATGGATTCATTTAGACTAGTGTGTGATGGGCTCTGCTCATTCACACTAAAGTTGGAAGGTTTTTGTGCACTCTGACAACTCTCTGTGGTTACTGATGAGATAACCATAGAACATAAGGTATCTTCCAGTTTTCTGCTGCTTTTGATGCCTTTTTCTTCAGTTCCATCAAAGATACTTGAAGACTCAGAACAACCCACTGCTTCAGGGATGTCATTGCTGGATGTATTCACATGAGATGGGACACGCAGTGGGGCATCTACTGCTTCGGCAGATTTATGCAAGGCTTCTGTAGCAACATGAGCAACAGCTGTCTTCAGTTTGCCAGGTCCAGGGTTCTCAGCTCTTATAAGATCAGAGAGTTTTGCCTTCCCTTTACGTTTGTTTTTCTTTTTGTTACACTGATTATTGCAATCCGCCGACCTGATAGCTTGCTCCTAAAATATATAGTATGTGACTCGTAAGTCATGACTTAACAAACACAAAGTAGGATTGTGCTAAAGTATGCTTACCGCCTTTGGTATTGGTGCAATTTCTTTGCAAGGAGTTCCTTCAGAAGCGGGTCCAATAATAGTGCATCGAACAGATGGAGTCTGCTGGCTTGACTTTGACACAATCCTAGAATTTCGGGTTTCTGTGCTACTGCATCCATTGTCCTGGAAAAGAGTCCTTAAGTCAAATAAGCTAACTTGCTTGTTGAAGTATACAGCCCCGTACCAATAACAAACTATAGGAAGAAGGGCATGAATGAACTATACCTTGGACGACTTGGAAGACGCTGCTAGCTTTTTCGAGCTACTAGACTTCTTCTTTCCTTTTCGAGAACCTACACTTGTCTTTTCAACATTCTTTTTTGGATTATTTGATGCTCCATCCCCAATGAGCTCCAAATTTATACTTTCCGTCGACACCACCATGAGAAGTCTTCGTAATCTCATGAGTATATTGTCAGCAACAGTGCCAGCTGACATTAATGAAGTGAGAAAGATTGCATCACCGCCACAGAAAGTAATATTGCTCTTTAAACACACTATCTCCTGAAGCACTAGCAATCTTTTTAATTCTTTAGCAAAAGCAGGCTTCTTTTTACAAGACAGAATGCTTGCAACATCGCCGCAACCAGGTTGATTCTTTCTGAAAAATGACTGCCGTGTACTTCCATACAAACTGTCTGCAAGAAATGATCCAGAATCGCTAGAAGCAACATCTGATCCTTCAATCTCATTAGCCTGCAAACTTGAGCTATTAGTATGTGACTTAGATATAGTTGGCATAGCAACTTCCTCAGATTAACTGCACACCAATGACACCAACTTTAGTGATCCTCTTCCCAACATTAGCAATGTGTAAAACAAGAAGGTATGGGGTGGCAAAGAGCTGATTGTTCATGTACACCGTGTCAGCGGACTGGTCAACATAAGCAATTAGCATATTCAGGATAGCAATTTCTTCAGTCGGTATTTAAAAGAAACACTGAATCGGGTTTTTGATAAAAGGACGACCATTTTGTCAATCTGCATGTATCTGACTGCCCAAGAAAGACAGACAAATCAATACTGAAAATGAAAGTTTACACATAAGCTAGAGGAGAACTGTGGGTGGGACACACTAAATTGTCCAGGCCAAAAGTAACCTACTGGTGGTCAAACTATTGTGGAATCTATATTAAAAGCACTCGTACAAAGGATTTACGAAAAGCAAACCATTTGAGTCAACAAGGCCTCAAAGTTGTTTTCAATAAATGATTGGTTTGTGATCAGATCTTTGGTTTGTTCAACCTAGTAAGAACATGATAATCATCTCTGATGCATTGATTATGAAAGAGTGTATGGACTGTCTATGCTTGTAATTCAAATGAATGCACATTTTGGCAAGAGAAGTCAATATGTCATTTGCCAAATAGTTTAGTCATGTAAGTGCAGATATTTCACCAAAAGTTACTTCCACCCTCTAAACATACATTACATTAGCAGAACGTCTGATATGATCTTTCCAAAACAATATGTAAAGCATTAAGCGTCAGTATTTTTTATCTGACTAAATATATCAGTGAACTCACTCTTTTATCTTAAATAATAACATAATCTTCCAACCCATCCTCCACTAGAGCCTCCCAGACAGAATGCTACATAATTAAAATCATGGATCCAAGAGCAGTATATTTGTGCTGTTTAGCTTTTTCTGGAAGGCTTTTCTCAGAGCCTACTTTACTTAAAAGAGATGATTTTAAATATGATGACAATAAGTGAACAACATTCTAGGCATGCAATTCCCATCACTTCTTTACTTTTCCTCCTCAAGCACATTCAGCCAGCATTATCTCCTTTCTTGCACTACAGCAAAAACGACAACTAGCTACCCAAAATACATGGGTGCTGCCTCTACCGCCCCATAAAACGAAAATCAGACCTATTTAACTCACCTATACATTCTAATTAGATCAGACAAAAGTTTCAGCACAATAAACATAGTCATGTACAATAAGAAGCACAGCTCAAAAAAATGTACAATAAGAAGCAAATGTGTTACTGTCCGGGTTTGGTTTCACTAGAATAAAAAACATGCCAAAGAAACTAACAGACCAAAGTACAGCATTGTTCTGAAACTTTTGCACTTTGCATACACAAGCTATATATATAGTCTGAAATTAAATTGCATACAACTGAGACAAGCATGGACCATAGCACTCCACAGCCATGAACAAAGAAACATGTCGAAACGCAGAGCGAGAGGGCAAATTACCAGCGCCTTTGCACTCTTCCCGAAGAAGGCCCCAGTGATCCTTGCTCTGACCCGGGGCTCCAGCCGCATCCACCAGTCCACATACCCCTTCTCCCTCCAGAAGGCCGTCGACGCCAGCCCGGCCTTCTCCTTGACGCACCTCCCAACCCTCACCGCCTTCTTCCCACCGCCGGCGCCTCCCCCGGCCGCGGCCGCCGCCCACGACATCCGCAGCGCGATCTCGACCCAGTTGGCGACGAACTCCTCGATCACGTAGTACCCCTTGGCTTTCAGCCAGGGCAGCTCGGGGAACTCCTCGGACGCCAATGCGGCCAAATCCACCTCGCCGTCGCCTGCGCGGAGGAAGGCGCCGCCGGAGATCTCGTCCATGGCGGCGACGAAGGCGTCGAGGTCGGCGAGGAGGGGCTCGGCGAGCGTGATCGCATCGGGGCGGTGGGAGGCGGGGGTGGCGGTGAAGAGGAGCGCGCGGGCGAAGAGGAGCTCGTGCACGCGGGACGCGGCGGCGGCCCGGGCGAGCAGGCCCCGGGAGAGGCGCGAGAGGACGGTGGGGGAGGAGGGGTCGGTGGGGGCCGGGTCGGCGAGGACGAAGA